GCCGGCGCGCCCGTCCCCTGTGAGGGGGGAGCATGCTGGGGGAAACAAAGATGCTGACACCGAGATGCGGCCACCAAATCTAGCTGAGGAATGTCCCGAGTGGGTTAATTCTGGGTGGAGGGTTAGTCTACGAGCCGTACTGCAGCAGGGCGGGGAGGACGGGGGGCTTCCTTGCGGGGAAGAGCTGGTCCGGGCAAATTGTCCGCGGTCCTGGGCAGGTGCTCAGTAGTCTGCCGTGTACTCTGTGCCGTGCAGCCCTCGGCACAGCAGGGTGAACTCCTTCACCATCTCCTTCACTCGCCGCTTGTTCACACGCTCTCTGCTAAGACAGACAGAGGGGACAACCGTGAAGCAGGAGGGATGCGCCAGGCCACGTGGGGAGGGTCACTCCCACCGCACGTGGGGCACAGCCAACCTGAGTATCTGCTGGCTGAAGGTCTCCTTCTGCTCGGGGCTGACACGGGCCGAGGGGAAGCCGTCCTGCTGCATGGCCTCCTTGATCCAGACGCTCAGGTAGCTGAAGCAGTGCTTGTTCAAGGCAAAGAGGATTTCTGCGAAGTGATCCATGAGGCTGCGGGAAGCCTGGCCACCAACACCCTGCCACAGAGCCTGGCGCAGCCCCCGGCGTTTAGGGGCTCCCGCCGGGGAACCAAGCCCCAAGCTGCCCAGGGAGCCTGTGGTCCCGGTGCCTCTCACCTCCAGCACTGCCTGCAGCAGCACTTTGCCGTTCTCGTGCACGACCTGTCCCACCGGGGCGACCTCTCCACAGCGGGGCAGCAGCTCCGTCTGCAACACAGAGCGCAGCTTGCTCAGTGCCCTTGCCTGACCCACAGCCCATCCCCGTGGGGGCTGCGTGATGCCACAATACTCACAAAAAAGCCACAGGATGCTTTGACCGTGGGGGCCTCAGGGAACTTGAGTGAAAGGACACCTGCGGGCAGAAAGCACCGAGGTCACCAGTCAGAAGCCCCGCGCACCACCCCACAGCAGCCCTGTGGTCCCTAGCTGCTCCCACACCAGCCCTGTGGTCCCCACCTCCAGGCTGGGCCGAGAGGGGGGGGGCGGGTTGGCCTCTCTGCAGAGCCATTTGGAGCGTGTGCCCGTAGTACTCACCACACTGAAACACTGCCTTGACATCCAGGTTGCTACACAGGAAGAGGTCCGGCTTCCTTTTGAGAGCCTGCAAGGCACACAGACAGGCAGCATAAACCCAGTGCTGCCGAGGCAGCCAGGAAGCCTCCGAGGAATCCGGTGCCCCAGCCAGCCTCTGCCTGGACGCACACTTACCTGGCACACCCACAGTAAATGGCAGAGTCACACAGTGCAGCAGGAAACCATCACTTTTTGCCCCCCCAAGAAAATGTCAATCAAACAGCCAGGCAGTTTGCTACACTCAGGGACCACCGACCACAGGACCTGAGGATAGATGCCACAGCAGCGTACACACAAATGCTTCGGACACAGAGATGGGGCAGAGTGCTCCTGTCCCACCCGCTCCTCTCCTTGTGAAGACGCTGGCGTCCCGGGGCGGGGGTGGGGGGGTGTCACAGCAACTAGTTCAAGCAGTAACCCCAGACGCAGCTCACTCTGCTTGGGCTCCAGCACACAGATGATGAGATGCCAACAGTTCCTGAGCAGCAAGGCTGGGATCAGAAAAGCTTTTGAAGTTTTTTTTTTCTGCCGCACACTGAGCCCACCAGCTTCTGCGGGGGATCAGGCACTGCTGCTGAGGACACCCTCGTGCAGCAGCTTGGTCCCCCCACCCCATGCTGGCACTGGGCAGTTAATGGATGGAAACATTTCAGTCTGCTCCTTCCACTCCACAGGGTTTCTGCCCTGCCACAGCAAGCCCTGCCATGTAAGGCGCCCACGTCCATGCCCTGACCACCACGCCACCGTACCCACCGCTGCGGGCCAGCACTGGGGCCAGCAGCCATGCCTCCTGCCCTGCTGTCACTGCAACACCGGTGACAGCAGCCACAGCACTGGAGTGGCCGTGCTCTGTGCCTGGAGCTTGGAGAGCAGGACACCAGGGCAGGCAGCCCTCAGGCTGAGCTGTGTGCAGGGCCACTGCCGCTTTCCAAGCCTGCTCCCGCGGATGAAAGCAGGGACAGCTTTCGGCCAGCAGCGCCCAGGACACAAAGCCATCTGCCCACAGCCATGGTCTCTAACTTGTAGCAAAATGGACGTATTTGCCACCTCTTTTTCTCCAGGGAAAGCCCACAGCCATCCACCCAGTGCAGAGAACATACGCTGGAGACCAAGAAGCTAAGGAGCAGGTTTCAGGCTTACTCCATCTCCTTTCTGACCCTTTATATCACACACTGCAAGAGAGGATTCGGGTTTGGGCATTGCATCGCTGTACCAGGCAGAGACGGCACAATCACAGAGACATGCTTCCCTGCTAGATACCAGCAGAGACCTTCACGAGGGTGACCAGGAGCCACATGATACCTGTATAGACTGCGTGCACCATCCCTCCTGACGCGCTAGCACCATCGGAAGGCCAGCTAGCAACTGGGCAATGGTTTAGAAACA